CAGTGAGGTTAGCAGCTAAGATATTTGTAGACTAGGCATTCTAGAAGTTTAGAGGTAAATGGGACTAAAGGGATAATTTTCCAAGTTGTTCAGCTTGTAGGATCCGGTGAGAACTCTTTAAAGCATGCACTGGTCTCCCTCATACTTAGAGGGGAAAGAGGTACCAGTAAAGGAGGGGAAATTTGAAGATGTGAGTTGGAGTGCATAGAATAGGGCAAGAGGATGACCATAGTAGTTGAGGGAACAGGGTCCAGGAGACAGGTGGTTACCTGGGCATCTGAAAAGTTTGGCAACCTCCTCTGTAGTAAGGCGTCAAAAGGGTAAAGGATTAAATGTTGTGGTAGAAAAGGTAAGTGGGGGTGCCTGTACAGTTGAGATGTACCCGCAAATCCATCTTGTTTCTGAAATTGTTGCAATCCTCTTGTTTTTGTGAGTTAGTGGGCTTTTGTCTCTTTTAAGATCATCAGTTTACCATGTTTGTTTTTATTGGGACCTAAATTCATGTGTAGTAAGGGGGAGCGATTGTGTCCAGGGAGGATGAGAACTGTTGCAGATAGAAGTGAACCGGCCATGGCAGGGTAGAGGTGAGATTTTGTCAGATGTGGCCAGTAGTAGAATGGCGAAGAGAAGGCTTAAAGTGGCGAAGGTTTCTACGGGTAATTCTTTGCTCCGTGGAGGGATAGGTGGCTGAAGACTGGTATTACATTAAACTGATAAGGTTGTGACCAGAGAGAGAAAATGTGGTGTTGGAGAGGCTGCAAGGAGTGCAGAGACAGGAAAATAGAAGGCTACGGGTGTTACTATCCGCACGCGTAGAAGTATGTGTCTGTTGTGTTAGGTCAGACAATGCGGTTAGTGGTTGTAAAGTGTGTGTGTGTGTGTGTGTGTGTGTGGTTTTTTTTTTGTTTTGTTTTTTTTTTACCTTCATATATTTTTATGTATTTAAAAAAAAAAAAAAAAAACCTTTGGGCAGCAGCCCCCCTTATGCTTACCTGAGCCCCACTTCAATCCAGCAATTGGCACAAGTTCTTCAGTTCTCATGAGGACTCCTTAGCTGAGACAGCAGTGGGAGCCTTTGGGCCTGTGAGCCAATGAGGGGAGAGGGGGCGTGGCCCAGTCACACCGCTGTGTGAATGGGAGCGAGCCTGCTTGGGTGCCCCCATAGCAAGCGGCTTGCTCTAGGGCACTCGGTAGGGGAGAGGAACCTCTAGTTCCAGCGAGGAACCCAAGAAGAGGATCAGGCCAGCTCTGTGAAAACCACTGCACAGAGAAGGTAAGTAGAACATGTTTGCTGTGTTTTGGTTTTGTTTGTTTTTTGGGGTTTTTTTTTTAATTTATTTACCTTTGTTTAATATAGCTTTAATTTGAGAAGTTGATGTAGCATGCCTGTTAAATGTCAGCAGGGATGTTGATCACAAAGAATGACCGTGGGTATTTCAGAGGAGAGAAAACAGAGTAGCAAGGCAGAGAAGTAATCAAGGAAGTGTGACACTGGTCCAGGAGGCTAATAAATCACAGCAATTCTACAGAGAAACTGTAGAAAAAAGATGGATGCAGTGAACTTCAAAAGAGAATAGAGAACAATCTGTGAAAAAATCTTTAAAAGGACTCAGTGGGGATAGAAGGAATCCAACTTATCTCCTTTTTGTCCACTTGGTCTGAGTGAGTGATTTTACGTGGAGGTCACAATGGGAGAGTACAGCTGGAGAGGCATTCAGATTCCTGAAGCCAGATTTTAGTAATTGCAAGTAGGTTAAAGGAATTGGAGATGGAAGTCATGGACAGAGGTGAGCTTGTTACAGTGTGCACATTCCAGGGGAAACTGGCTTTTGGAATCGGGGGTATAAAAATCAGAGTGAGCGGGTTGTGGTTACCAGAGGAAGGAGGGTGCTGGGTGTGGGGTTTAGAGGAGATATTCGCAGAGGTTAGGAGAAACAAAATGGGAGTGAGATATAGAAAAGCGCACATGACTTTATGTCCTGGTGTTTATATTGGTTTATTCCATATTTCCATGAGGTGGTAAGTGCAGTAATGAGAGAGAGATTGGGCTTAGACTTGAAGTCTGTCCAGAGTTCATTGTTTTTGTTTTTTTTTCTGCTTTAGTGCAACTGCTGTTAAACTGCTTGATAATTGTGCAAAAAAAAAACAATGCATAGGCCTCATTGACAGAGAATGTACTGCAGCATCTGCCTGTGCAAGGGCTGTTTACCCACACAGGGAAAAACATGTGTTCCATGCATACCCATACAGACAGTCCCATTGATGTCAATTTGGAGGCAATGACCACATGGACACAACCGAGGCTCACATGGTCTGCTTTTTGGACTGCACACCTGCATGGATGTCAGATTGTGAGTAGTGGCTGTGTCCATGAGGCCCCTGCATCCCAACTGACCTCAATGGGACTGCCTGCATGGGGATGCACAAAACACCTGTTCATCTTCATGTGGGTAATCATGGCCCTCGCACAGGCATATGCTATAGTACACCCTGTGTGAATGAGGCCGAAGGCAAAACATGGTCTGTGACTCTGCCCCGATCTGACTTTAAAAGACTTTTTTTTTTTTTTTTTTGAGGGGGTGTAGCAGGGAAATATTCATCAATTAGGAATTCCTAAGACAAGACATTAAGAAGTTGAATTGGTGGCCTTAAAATATATATTTTTTTATTTTGCTCAGTCTGCTGCACATGCTGTCCTGAAATGCCAAGCAGTGTGGACAAACATGCAAAGTTCTCTTTACTGGGCTACAGAGAGCCTCTCCCACTCTCCAATCCTTATATCTGTCACTAGAGATCTGGGTCCCCCTATAGTCCTACAGAGCCAGGTAACATGCATTTTTCCCATTCAGACTTGCATTCGGGACAGTAATCAGTCCTTTAGCTTGTTTTTTTTGGATTTTATTAGGGACTTGGATAGGGGTCTATGGGATGACCAAGGGTAATGTACATAGTTCAGGAAGATTGTCCTTTGTTGCCAAGTCTCTTAGCAGCAAAAGAAATGATCCTTCTTGGGGAGCTAGCCAGCATATCCAGTAGTACTATCCCAGACCCTAGATGCTGCTTATCCAGCTGTTCTGGGTGAATTCTTGTGCAGGGAATCTAGTGCCTGTCACTTTAACAGAAGACAGTCCTGGGTAGTAGCTAATCCAGTTTCCCCACTGAGAGCTCCTTACCCTTACTGGCCCAGGAGGTGCAGGTCCTCAGTCCTTCTCCTATGCTGCTACTGGGTCGGTTGCTGCTCTCAGGCCTTCTGCTGGGCCACTCCTTCACTGGTCCCTAGAGCGAGGACCACCTATGCAGGGAAGTCCCAAGCTTTCTTGCTTCCCTGCCTGTAGGTGAGCCCCTTCCCATCTGGGGGAAGGGGCTCCTGTTAGGGATTGGCCAAGATCCCTTGAGAGTGCAGACCAGCCACTCAGTTCTTCCTGCTCTAGAGTTTTGAGGAAAATTCTAGAAGCAATGGAGGTCACAGAGAGCTGGTCTGCAGAGCCTCTCATCCCCTGACTGAAATTTGACCCCCTGACTATTACACCTGGGCTGCTACTCAGCCCTTCTAATAAGTAAGGGTGATGATGGCACACAGAGATATAGGTTTTCCAAATGAATGCTGAATATTCAAGTGGCTATGAGGACACTATAATAAAGAGCCATGACGAAGTCCTTGACTAATGAGTCCTTTTATGTACTGAATGTCAAGTAGCAACCGCATCCTTTAGAGGCCTGTAGAAGGAGCTAGAGGCTCCAAGCATGTATCCTGTGTATCTGTATTCCACATCCGGCCCCCCGAATCTTCCAGTGATGTCACTTCTTCTGTTTGGCGCGTTCCATGCTGGTTAGTGTGGAGTTTACCGGTCTGTGTATGACAAACAAGCCTGGTATCGATCCCCATCTCCATGGCCTCTTAGGATCGCAGATGATGGTACCTGCGAGATGGAGGAGTGGCCTTCCATGGACTTACAGATTATCCCCTTTTTTTTTTTTTTTTTTTTTTAATTTAGCTCCTTTGAGTTTTTTAATCCTGTGTCATTAAATAGTTCACTAATATACTGCACTTAGCTGGCACCTCCTTCTTTCTCCCTCTTACTCAGCTCTTCTAACTATGAATTAGAACTACAGCTCCCCCTAGCTACCTAGGAGGGTGCTGCATATCCATAACAAGGTAGGTTACATTTCATTAGGAGAGAACATGTGCAGGCTCAGAACACTGCTTGAGATTTGCGAGCAGCCAAGTGCACAAAGTTATGGGGGAAAGTATGAGTATTGGGTAGTTGGAGAGATGTACTGCTGCATAGTGTTGTGTGTGTGTGTGTGTGTGTGTGTGTGTGTGTGTGTGTGTGGGTTTTTTTTTTTTTTTATGGTTTTTGCTAAATATAATTGTGCCTACGCATACTTTGAATATTTAGAATGAAATGGCATTTTTGCTTTGTGGTGCTCAGATGTAGTGCAGTTTCACTTCAAAGCAAATTCACCCATCCATCCTTGTCTCCATGCTATTTTTATACTGAAAAATTAAATAATTTTGAAAAACACCCCCTGGCATTGTGGCATCTTGAGTAAGGGCAGCTTATTGGTGTATCATTTACTTCCTGGAATTCATTTGCCCTTAGCTCAGGCATAGGCTGAGCTGAGAACCATCCCTCCCCCTCCGAAGACTTCTGGGATGTATGACATTTGACTAGGCATGGGAACCAAGAAGTAACTAAAGAAGAAAAAAGTTTAAAACGAGTACATATAATATACTTTCCTATCTATTTACTAATGCTAGCAGCATAAGGATTAATAATAGTCCATGTTGACTAAGTGTGAAGTTCTGCTTTAATGAGATTACTTGTCCCCTGGAGGATGATTATCAATAGAAATTTTTGAGAAAAATCATATCTTGGCATAAAGTTGGGTGAGGACACAACCATGTTTGTTGCCCCTCCCAGAGTCCTATGTGAGGCTGTACAATAAAATACAACACAACCTCTTGACCAATCTATTTGGTTTTCTTGTGATTTCAGATAACAAAAAATGGCACAATAGAGTCCGAAGAAGCCAACATTCTCACACTGGATGATATTTCAGATGATGACATTGACTTGGATAACACAGAAGTAGATGAATATTTCTTTCTACAACCTCTACCAACAAAGAAGCGGCGAGCCTTGTTGCGCGCATCTGGGGTGAAGAAGATCGATGTGGAAGAGAAACATGAGCTGCGAGCCATCAGGCTGTCCAGAGAAGACTGTGGCTGTGACTGCAGAATATTTTGTGACCCTGAAACTTGCACATGCAGCCTCGCAGGCATTAAATGTCAGGTGAGCCACCACTTCAGATCCATTCTACAGTATATAGGGCAATACAAAATGACCCTTGGGAAAATCTTGCGCACTTTTTTTTTTTTTTTTTCCCCTGTAGTGAATGTGGTTTATGTAGAAAAAAAAAATCCCACAAAGTGTTGAGATGCCTGCTGTTTTCTGGGTGCTTACCATAATTCCAGAAAACAATTTTAATAAAACTGAACACAAGGCAAAAGTCATAATTTCAGGTTCTCGGTATAGTGGCAAACTATAGGCAAAACGTTGGTTATAACACTCTCTTGCTCTATATAAAATAAAAAATAAAACAAAACACCTTGACAGTTTTTTTTTTTTTTTTTTTTTTTTTTTTTTTTTTCTTTCTAATTGCCATTTGTCCCATTGCGGAGATTTCCTTTCACTTTCTGCCCCATAGCCAAACAGGAAGTGAGAGGAAAACCCTGAAAATTAAGAGAATTCCTTGGGGACCCCCTAAGTCACCAGAACTAGTGTTCCCATTGCTAGATTTTGCCTCTTGCTTTTCTGGGGAAAGCTCAAAACTTGAGATTTTCTTGTACTTTCACGTCGGTGATAATGGTAAACCAGACAAAGGGAGAGAGGGTGAATCTCCTTAACAGGCACACAGACATGACAAATACTTACACATGTTCCAATCTCTCTCCACCCTATCCAACACGGGGAAAAATGTTTTGCCTTTTATCCTTTTAATATATTCAATGTGTGTCTATGTACAATGTATATATACATGGCAGCCATCAGAAATTATTTGGACCTGTGGCTGTCCCACCAAACCCACCCACTGAGTGCCATGAAGAACTGTGGGATGGCCACTTTTATTTTAACACTCACAACTTTAAATCTTGAAACAACTGACTTAGAATACACTTTTCATTTTCATATATTAACAGTGAGGAATTATATTGTGGCCAAAAAATATGAAGCCTGCAACCGTAACAAGGTAGACTGTTGTGCTGTCGTGTTTTGTTTTTTTTTTTTTTTTTTTTTTTTTTGTGTTTTTTTGTTTTTTTAAGCAGCACCCTACACTAGTACATACTGCACTACCTCTCCTACACCTATCTATCCCTGTATAAAACCACCTGATACCGATTAACCTCTATAGAAGACCCTCCATCACACTGACCTCTAAAGTCCTCCCAAACCTATTTATAAGACATCTACCAACCTCTCTAAGTACCCCTACAATACCTACCTCACTCTATTTAAGACCACCTGACTCTCCCTCTATATTTACAGATCCCCCATCAGAGGAGAGCAGAGAAGTGATCAGAGCCCCCCCCCCATCCATCCAGTAATACTTCTCCTGTCAGGAGAAGACCCGTGAACAGGAGGAGTGTATGGGGACAATTTAAAAAAGACCCCCATACATTCATCCAGAAATACAGACAAATATAGGGAGACCCTCATTCAGGAATATGGAAACTCCCTCCCCCTGCAGTTAAGACTCCCAGCTAAACAGACTGCAGGGGGATGATCAGAGGGGACTCCAACACTGACCCCCCCCCCCCCCCAGTGAAGACAACCCCCAGCTAGGAGGATTGCAGGTGGGTGATCAGAGGGGACCCCCACCCTTCACTAGTAAACTGACATCTAGCTAGAAGGACTGCAGGGGGTGATCAGAGGAAACACCTACACAAGCTGCCCTACCCACCTCCCAGGAGGAAGAGAACCCTAGCTAGGAGGATTGCACAGAGGTAATCAGAGGGGAGCCACACACACAAACTGCCCTACCCACTCCCCTCCAGGAGAAGTAGACCCCAAGTTAAAAGGACTTCTGGATCAGAGGGGACTAAAGCACAGACTACCCCCTGCCCATCCTTCTCCAGGAATGGGAGACCCCTAACCAGGATTGCTGGGGGTGATCAGAGGGGACCCCCACACAAACTGCCCTACATATCCCCCCAGGAGAAGGTGACGCCCCTCCCCCTAGCTAGGAGGATTGCGGGGGGGTGATCAGAGGGGTGGGTGATGTGTGAGGAACGTAAGGATGCTCCATCATTTGATGGTAATGAAAATAACTTCCCGAAAATCAAAGTGAGAAAAATGATGCAGCAGGCTAGTCCATTTTGCTGAAATTTAATTGCAGTAACTCAAAATGGTACTCGGTAGTTTGTATGCATGACTGACAACATCTGAGCATGCTCCTTATGAGACAACAGATAGTGCCCTGGGGTATTTTCTCCCAGATCTAGACCAGGGCATCACTGAGCTCCTAGACAGTCTGAGGTGCGATCTGGCGGCGTTGGATGGACCGAAACCTATCCCAGAGGTGTTCTATTGGATTTGGGTGAGGCGGGCGTGGGGGCCTTTCAATGGTATCCATTAATTCATCCTCCCGGAACTGCCTGCATACTCACCACATGAGTCCAGGCATTGTCGTCCACCAGGAGGAACCCAGGACCCACTGCACCAGCGTAGGGTCTGACAATAGGTTCAAGGATTTCATCTCGATAACTATTGGCAGTAAGGGTGCCATTGTCTAGCCTGTAGAGGTCTGCGCATCCCTCCATGGATATGCCTCCCCAAACCATCACTGACCCACCACCAAAACGGTCATGCTGAACGATGTTACAGGCAGCATAACGTTCTCCACGGCTTCTCCAGACCCTTTCACGTCTGTCACAAATGCTCAGGGTGAACCTGCTCTCATCTATGAAAAGCACAAGGCGTCAGTGGTGGACTTGCCAGTTCTGGTGTTCAATGACAAATGCCAATTGAGCCCTGTGGTGCTGGGCAGTGATCACAGGGCCCACTAGAGGATGTCTGGCCCTCGGGCCACCCTCATGAAGTCTGTTTCTGATTGGTCAGAAACATTCACACCAGTGGCCTGCTGGAGGTCATTTTTCAGGGCTCTGGCAGTGCTAATCCTGTTCCTCCTTGCACAAAGGAGACAATACTGGTCCTGCTGTTGGGTTGAGGACCTTCTATGGCCCTATTCAGCTCTCCTAGAGTAACTGCCTGTCTCCTGAAATCTCCTCCTTGCTCTTGAGACTGTGCTGAGAGACGCAGCAAACCTTCTGGCAATGGCACATATTGATGTGCCATCATTTAGGAGCTGGACTGCCTATGCAACCTCTGTAGGGTCCAGGTATCACCTCATGCTACCAGTAGTGACACTGACCCTAGCCAAATGCAAAACTAGTGAAAAACAGAAAAGAGGAGTAGTGGAAAATATGGCAGTGGTCTCCACCTGTAAAACCATTCCTGTTTTGGGGGTAGTCTCATTGTTGCCCATCTAGTGCACCTGTTAATCACTCAATAATTAATAAAAGGGAATTAAGGGTAGGGGTTGGGTGGGGCAATTGGTGGCAAGTAACTAAAGTCCTGGCTAGTAACCCAGGACTTGAAATTTTGAGGTGTGTATAGATAGATAAAATTTTATCTATCTTATAATTATCACTACAAACACCTCTTTATGCATCCTGCTTTTAAAGCCATAGTTCTCAACAGTCTGATGGGTGCCTGTAGGAAAAATGACTTACGAAATTCCACTTGCTTAGCCTCTTGCCCTTCCATAGTTTTCTGATTTGGACAATGAAGGATCAAAAGTGCATAGATAAGGCTCATTGTTGGCAGTGACAACAAAGCAATAAATCCCTGGTTGAGTTGGAGGTTTAGGGGTTTCTAATTTGATATGGTTATGCACTTTGCAATTCACAGCCACTCTCAGATAAAATAATTAAAGGTGACGATAGATATAGGGCCTATTCGTGGTGAATGGTACCCCAACACACTGCACGGTAGCAGCCAACAGAAGCAGCGCAGCATGCTACAATGTACAGGGGGTGCGTATTCTGCATGTTCATTTTTTTTTTTTCTTGGGTTAAAGTGTGCTGCCAGACCAAATGAGTGGGCTGCCTTAACCAAGTGCACCTTAACGCATGACAGTACAATGCATTGTGGAAGAGTGTTCTTGTATGCAGACTTGATGTTAACATCTTATTTGTTCTCTTTTGGCCTGTTCAATGCACCGTTTTAATGTATTCAGTTATATCTGATAGGCTAAAATAATACCTTCTGATCTTGCCAGAAATCTAGTGAGCTCACAACTTCCCATGCACTCTGCAGTAGTATCAGCCTGTACAGTACACCTCTGTGAGAATACCCCCTATGTTATGGAGATGAGGGGAAGACATGTTCTGCAGTCGCGAAAAAAGGTGACGAGCTGTTGCTTGCCAGGTGCAGTACTGTGAGTTTTGTCACCAATGGACAGGAAGGGTTATAGGCATGAACACCAGGTGAAAAAAAAAAAAAAAAAAAAAAAAATAGCCAGGTAAGAATATATATTGCAGCATGGCAATCCTTAGATGTGGCAGCTGCATAGGTTTTCTTTGATCTTGGGTGCACTTTAACTTTGGGTCCATACCATTGGCCAAACTGCAAGAAAACAAGCCAATACTCTACATTTCTTCTGCACTCCTTCCAATCATCTGTATCCTATGTGTAATTCTAATCCTAGCCTAGACTGTTGAATAAGGTAGGAGACCATTAGCCGAGAGGACCTGGATGTATATATGTGGTCTTGGTTATGCTGGATAAAGAAAAGCTTAAAAGGACATTTTGTCATATATTACAATTATTTCTCTTGATAATGTTAATTTTTTTTTTTCTCCTCCAGGTGGATCGTATGTCTTTTCCTTGTGGATGTTCTAAGGAAGGATGTAGCAATACCGCTGGCCGAATTGAGTTTAATCCAATCAGAGTACGGACCCATTTTTTGCACACAATCATGAAGCTTGAACTAGAAAAGAATAGAGAACAGCAGCTCTCTGCAGCTAATGGTTGCCCTGCAGAAGTTGGAACTCTTGCCAATTCAATGGTCCAGTCGGGCCACCCTATAGAGTATTCTGTTGCTGAGAACTTTGAGGTTGAAAGTGATCCTCAGTCTGCCATGATGCACTTTCAGAATTCTGATGAGTTGGACTGTAGTGGGGAAGAGGAAGAGGAGGAGGAAGAGGAGGAGGAAGAAGAAGAAGATGATGGAAGCAGCTACTGCAGTGAAGCAACTGATTCCAGCACTCAAAGTTTAGCACCAAGTGAGTCTGAAGAAAACGATGCTGAGGAGGATGACGAAGACTGTGACAAATCAGATGACTTTAATGACGCAATTGTACCCCATGATGACAATCTACCTGTATCTTCAGTCTTCTGCTATTCCGATGCCAATGCTTTGCATGAGAACCATTTAAAAAATGCTCCATATTATACCAACCCATCAACCCTGTATTATCAAATAGACAATAATAATTCTGCTGCCACAAATCCACTCACAGAGGTCTACTCTGATCGGGACTCACTGAAAAATGGGGCTACAAATTTGGTGCCTTACAACATGAGACCAGAGCAGTTCAAGTATGTTGACTACTCAAGCCAATCGGTTGAAGAATACAACAATAGTCATTATACAACCTCCAGTCCTTCAGTGATAGTTTGCCGGGCTGCTTCAGAAAACGATAATGGGCACTGCAATCCTTTGTATGCTGAACATCGGTCAAGCCTCCCACCAGTAGGGTTCTGCTCCTATTTAAAAAGTCCTTCTGAAGGATATGTATCAAATTTAAATGGTAACGGTCACCATGTACCGGAACTTAATGATAATGCCATAACGCTCTCTGAGACAAATAAACTTCATGAGGATTGCATGAAATCTCCTGTAGTGGAGACGGTTCCAGTTTAATAGGTGTATAAATGAAATGAAAAAACATCTTGGTATTTTTTTTTTCCTCATTGTGATTTACTGATTTCCTACAAAACTGCGTTTTAACCCCAAGGAAATGGAGATGAACAAGTTATTGTCCTAGTCTTTATTCGATTTATGTTTTATGTTAACATAATGACCATGGCAATGCACAACAACACTGTTTTAACTAACAATGTATAAAAAAAAAGTATCTAAACAGATTTATTAGGAAATGTTGATTTAAATGTTAATCTTTATATATTTCAGAAATAGCCTTCTATCAAAAAGGTAACATCTGCCAAACCAACACAATCAAATCTTTGTAAAGCTGATTTATGGGTCTGTGCAAGATTGCTCTGATTCTTTTGCAACCTGTGGATTTCTGATTGGTTGAATTACAAGTAAGCGCACCTGTCATTTTTGGGATTTTTTTTTTTTTTTTTTAATACCATCAGAAAAGTCACAGGTTGCTAAGCCTTGTCTTACAAATTGATATCTCAAATTTAGAGAAGACTTAATGTGATTTTGTGTTAAAATATTACGGTTACCTGTGATTTATTATTTATGAATGTTCTGTGAATTGTTTGGTGTAATTTTTTTTTATTTATCTTGACAAATGGACGCATGTTCATAAAAGAGTAAAATACTTAACAGCATATCATGACATGCCCTTAAAGAATTGAGACTGTGCTATGCATTATACCTCCTTTTTTTAAATGAGATATTTCAACAGGGGTAGTGGTAAGAGAAAGGATACACACTATATTAACTGGATTTAAAATTGTTGGTACATATGCTCTCCATTTTACACTTTAATTGTTATATTTGTAATAGTTTTGGAATTCCAGCTATTCTTGAGGTTTAAAATGAACTTTTTTTTATGCTGGAGAGAAAAAAAATGCTATTATTGACCAATGCAAATGCAATGTGCTTGGCTGTCTTTTGGACTTTAGTACTTTTGAGTCCCTATGTTGGCAGTGGTGACTGGTGTCAATACATTGAGTTAGTGACCAAGTACAGATGAGCTCTGACTTCACCAAAGGACAGCCAGAAACCTGGCATTTTCAAGAGCAGTCACCAGTGGCTGGACACATTTCTCTTAATTCAAGTTTATTTTTAAAGATTTATCCATTGGCTGGTACCAGTTTGAAAAGCATATTAAGGTGCCTATATCTATGGAGTTGCATTGGTTCAGAACCACAGTTTTTTTTTTTTTTTTGTTTTTTTTTTTTTTTTTTTTTTTTTTTTTTTTTTTATCACGTCCTATCGACCAATATCAACATTTTCTAAAAGACCATCGAAACCAATAGATTAGTGCCAATCCCTGGCCTGTTCAAGCCAATGATTGGAGAATTTCAGACAATATCTGTTCTCCGCTAAATAAAAGATAAGCTAGCACTACACAGTCATTTTGGGTATTTGGATTGTGTAGTGGAACAGCATGCTGGGTGCAAAATAATCCCCTAGGCTGAACAGAAGCCACTGTCTATAACCAACTTGGCCTCAAGAAGAGATGCACTCAAATGTTTAAAAGTAACATTCCTAAATTTTAGGTGGTTAAGTTGGTGGTATGTTGTAGTTTTCCACTGTATTTTACCAAAGTCCTACTGATAATATTCTGATCTAATACTGTTTTAGCAAACAGTATAGTCATCAGAAATTTGAAATTTAAAGGCACATCTCAGCCAGAATTAAACTGAAGCCTTGAATTGCACATTGGGAACACAATATGAGAAACACATCCTTTAGGGTAGGGACCTCTTTTTCATTCAGACCAACCACTACCTCAGATTCATTATTGCTAGTAATGTGGTTTGGTGTTGGAATACCAGTTTCTTTCCCATGTAGTAGTTCTGGGCAGGTAATCCCAACCCCGCTTATCCTTCCTTCAAAAAGTAAAACAAGATGTTGCTGCACAAAGTCAAATGTGCTGCTAAGCAAAAACAGGTCTTCACAGATGAGTGTCCTGTTTTACCAAGAATTCAAGCTTGGAAATTTCTAAATACACTGCTAAAGTTATGTTGTAAATGCATTCATTGTCTTATATTTGCCTGCAGTTCCACTCTAAACTGAGTTGTCTGTTGGCTTTAGCATACTTGATATATTTTTTTTGAAAAGCATAGCAGTCTGCTGCTTGATTTTATTTGTTGTCTGAAATTGTCCCGTGTATCGTAGAGCTATAATGAGCACTATTATACAGACCGTTCTACTGAATAATTAATATATCTGAGTCCCTTTTTTTAAAAAAAACCAAGATCATAATCATTACATTTAAATATATTTTATTTTAGGGACTCCATAAACATGTCCCTTGACAACCCAGTATTACAGAAGAATTGGTATTTACAGTTGAGTTGCCTGTAAACTTATTCCTATATTGATGCACTTTATCTAAGGCCAGTACAATCTGAGAAACTGTAAAAGTGAAAAGCACCTTTCATAACAGTGTAGATATTGAATAAACCCTGGGACTATTCAGCATTTGTGATTGGCATGTTGTTTTTGAATGCTTGTACAAAATACTTACACGTCCAGTACCTTAATCACTGGCAGTCACATGCCATTATTAAAGTTGCATCATAATTTCTGTTTACTAAAGTGTGATCAATGCAAGAAAAGTTCTGATTGGCTGGTGTGGTTTTGCTGGTTATGAGAGGATGTTGACCAATGTGCTCGACTGGTAATTGTCGGAGATGAGAGTGTGGATGCTGGAACATTCTCATAGCTGGGTCCATAGATAAAATACTCTCCATACTTAACTAGTATATATGTTCAAATAGACCTCTGTCTCTGTTCATTAGTGTATTGTGAGTGTGGTCTAGTCTTCTTTCTTAGGCAAAAGTTGAAACCAAACTGGAAATTTTAAGTGTGGTGATCTTTCATATTAAGGAAGTAAAATACTTATTGGGCCTTAGGTGTTTTTTATTACTGAGAAAATAATGTCACATGGATGTGGACTCCTGCCCCATAGGTGGGAAATCCTGCACCATAATTCTGTGCTAGCAAAAACACTTGAGCCCCACTGAAAACCTACTCATACTGATGTCCCTTGGAATTCAGATATTCATAGAGTGAAGGGCAATGAGTTTGAAAACCCCTGTACTGTACTGTAGATTTTCCCAATTTAAAGCAAATCACTCATCTCTGGTAACTGTACTTCACACAATATATTTAATGCATCTGTTGCTCCATCAATATAAATGCCTAAAGTAAAACAAGCACTCCTTGAAAAGAAAATGATTGTTCCCATCCCACAGCATTGAACTTTGGCTGTGTTGCGATAATCTTGTTAAAGGCCCTTCAGCATCTGGCACACATCCTCCTACTCTCTGCAGTTACTTGCAAAGGCCCTTATGTTAATATTAGTATGTCCTGTAATTATGTAGGGGCCAGCAGATGAAACCACAGGAAAAAGTGTCTAATGCCTTTGGAGCTGACCAGCTGCATCTGACAGTGCCCAGGTGAGAGTAAACCGTCAACGGGAAGATGACTACATTGAGAGTAACGATGTCTACTGGAATATTTCAAAAGTTAGTCATAGCGTGCACATTTAGAAACTATACAGTATTTGAGGTCAGGCATTTGACAAGACTTTAGATGCCACTCTTCAGGTACTCCCTTACCCTTGACTATCAAGCTGGAGACCTCTAATGGTAGTTGTGTATGAGTCACATTGATTTTAGCCCTTTGTCACACTTGCTTGCAGGTCTAGGGAAATAAACAACAACGTGAATGGGATCTTTTTGTTGACAGGTAGGCAGAAAATAACTCCACCTCCAGGTTCAAAAATAAAAATGCAGTTACTATTGTGTTATGTGCCATCACTGCTCAGCTGCTTTAACCACTTGCCCTCCAGAGGAATTACCACCCCCCCCCCCCCCCCCCTTTCTGACCAGGCCATTTTTTGCATTACAGCTCTGCGTTACTTTAACTGACAATTGCGCGATCATGCAACGCTGCACCCAAATGAAATTTGTGTCTTTTTTTTTTTTTTTTTTTTTTTTTCCCCCCACAAATAGAAAATGCACATGCGATCAAATACCATCAAATGAAAGCTCCATTTTTTGCGCTATAAAAATCCCAACCCTTTTTTTTTTTTTTTTTTTTTAACATGTCCAATAAAAAAAATCAAATTTCATCATAAATTTAGGGCAAAATTTATTCAGCTACATGTCTCTGCTTAAATATAACTCCCAATACGTGTAAATTAATTAGTTTCTGTGAGAGTTATAGCGTCTACAAATGGTGGTATAGATAGTAGAATTTTATACCCTTGTAAGGGCAGTGGTCAGCGACTTGCGGTGGACACTCTGGCACTGAAGGAACTGACTTGGTGTCACTGACCTCCCCAGTGCCACCAATACAGTGATCAGTGCTAATAAGCACTGACACTGTACTAATGACACTGGGCAGTAAAGGGTTAACATCTGGGGCAATCAAAGGGTTAACTGTGTGCTGTTTCACATTATGTGCTGTGTGTGCTTTCAACTGTAAGGCTGTGCTAGGCAGAGTTATACAAAGCAGTGTGCAGGAGCTGACAGAACTGTATTGTTTACATACAGTGCTCTCCCCTGTTGGTAATACTTGGTGATTAACAGGTGCTGGTGAGTAATCACCTGCCGGGACCTGGTGCTTGACAGCTGAGGCTGTGAATGGCGGTACGGGCAGGGCATGTGTGTACACCTATGACGCCCTGTAGCAGTATTTCTGCTATAGGGTGGCTGGGAAGTGGTTAAATAAAACGTTTAAGTTATGGTACTGGTATTACCTTTTTATGCTACTTCTCTAAAACTAATTTCTATTGGTTATTAAATGTTTGACCTTTTTTCCAGGAGTCCAACTTCCATCAAGCTGGCTAGAGCACCTCCGTGGCCAATCTGGGCATTGTAATATAGAACATTGGCCATTGCCTGTGTAGTCGGTGCCTAGATACAAAGTGAGACTAGTTTCAAAGACACATTGAAGAGTGTTTATTGGCCAGTATATAGCAGACTGGT